TTTCTTCTCCACCCAAACACATAGCAGTCCCGATTTTTCTGCAACTAATGGGTGACACATTTTGGTCAAAATGAGGTTGCAGCTTAAATTTATGTCGTAATAAATGTGGTCAAATCAGATGTCATGATGTTAATTTTTAGGTGGAGCCTCCTGTCATGCCCCATAAATCAGTTTATCTGTGATGAGAAACACATCGCTTTTCACTCATCTCTGAAATGCCTTCGATAAAGGACTTTTATTTGACTTTTGAAACGACTAATGAAGACGGTAGTTATTCTGAAGGAGATACTATAGTGGGCACAGTTAATTTCAAACTGACAACAAATGTCAGCATTAATACCCTCACCGTAAAAGCCAAAGGAGACGCAAAGACAAAATGGACAGAAGACATAGGAGATTATGTAATGACTGTCACTTCAAAAAAGAGATATTTCAAAGTGAAGGATTACTTAATTGGTGTAACACTTAAAGGTAAGAGGTTTTACTCATTTAAAACCTGGCGAGGTTGTTGTTTTTTGTAGAATTTTATAATAAAAGCAGTTGGCCATGTGTCCAATAGAGTTGCCCATGAAGTTAAGTGTATATAGAAAGAAAGATTTGTACTGAAACAATAAGAACAACAAAAATGTTTAAATATTACAATTATATTAATTATAATAAATAAAGTGAGATATCAAGTAATGAAAACTAATGAAAACTGATTAAACCGTGCATCCTTTTTGAGATTTGATCCAGTTTGAATTTAAACAAAAATAGTACAGTGTAGTAAAAAAGTACAATTGAATATCATAAAATCCATCAATCACAATAGCAAAAAGTATAAAGGTGTAAAAAGAGAAGTCACTCCATAATTTGGCCCACAACCAAAAAAGTTATGTTTTGTGTTTTCTTGCTCCCAAAGACACATTTGTTAGGACAGCTGGTTATTCTAAATTGGCCATGGATGTGAGGAAGATGAAATGTAAGGAATAAAATGCAGTATGAATGCATGATTACAATTTGACTTGTGCTCAAAACCTCTTTTAGCAGTCAATAAAAGTAGACAAGCACTACATACATGCAGGTATGTGCCTATCTGTTAGTACTCATGCCTTCCACTTGCAAGCACAAGTACCAACTCTGAAAGAAAATCTAAAAATGAACACAATAAAATTAATTGATTCTGAGCTTGTTGATCTCAAGACAGATGAAAAGAGAGTTTGTAGGTTCACAAGATTATGGATGCCATTTTAGGGAGCTGAGGAAACATGCAAGTACCACAAATATGCAATTATTCCTAACACTGCTTTAAATGCACGGACTAGTTTCCAAGAAGCAAATTTTGTACCTGCATGTTTGTTGTGATTATTTTTTAATTAATGATAAAACGTGAAGGCAATTTTTAATGGTTGCAATGTTTGTAAATGGTTATAATAAATTCCAAAAGTTCCAGTACTGTCTTCCCATTTTCACTTATATTTAATTAATTATGACTGTTATAATTTCATGTCTTACATGACACATGACATGCTATTCTGTGACAGCAAATGTTTTTCCTCTAAAAATGAGTGTTAAAAAACATTAAAAAAATACACCCTTCCTGCTCTCTGAAACATTAACTAAGGATTAATCATCCATTTATTAATGTCAGACAAGCTATTTATAGATTGTAAATGTATCTGTAGTGTAGGTTGTTGGAAACACTTAAGAGGTCATTCTTGACCTTGGTCAGTTTTGACTCTTAAATACTGTGAAAGCATGAAATATGAACTGTATGTAAGGGTTAACTTGTATTTTGTAGTTACTCGAATAGTCTTGCAGATATAAACAAAACACTACATTCAAAGAATATGTATGTAAATATTAATGATCAGCAGTAAACTGTAAATATAGTTGTATGTCTTTTAAGCAGCTGACATTTTTAAAAGTGTTTAGCTTTATCTTGCAGGGACTTCACTTCCCAAAGGGGTCCACACTTTTGAATTCAGGCTCAAACTCCCAGAGGGGTAAGTGGGAATTTAATATTCATTAACATTTTATCTTCTTTTTTTGGCAAATGTACACTTTCCACACTGGTTTTGTTTTACAGGAGCATGCCTTCATCCTTCAAGGGGGAAAATGGAAAAATTGTGTACATGTTTGAAGCAAAGATATCCAAGAGCTGGTGGTGGCCTTCTAAAGTTAAACGAGAGATCAACTTCATTTCCAAGACGTTTCAGCAGTTTTGGGAAGGGATGGTAAACACTGCACTGATAAGTGTTAGAAATGTAACATGTGTGCTAAATGAAAAGTGTTTGGTATAAAAGAAATCACATTAAAAATCACAGGCAATAAATCATAAAAATCTTCTCTGTCGATGTGGTTTTTCATAGAGTCCACAATCTGGTACAGTAAGTAAAAACATAGGTGGGCTCTCCCGGGGACGGGTCCAAATGTCTGCTACCATTGAGAGGAATGTTTGCACTCCAGGTAAAATAAAGGTTCAAGTTGCACGGCAAATATTGATAGATTTAAAAATGCAGTTCGATGTTCTGATTTGATTTTGACAGGTGAAACTTTATCTGTTGTTTCCAAAATCTGCAACTCCTCTTCAAAGAACACGAGGCCCAAATTCAAGCTTGAACAAAATACAGTGTACCGCAGCAAGTACCACACTAAGAACTCACTGATAATTCTGTTCAAAGAGGTCGGGGCCACTGTCAGGCCAAACTCAGAGCGAACTGTCTCCTGCCAGTTGAAGATTCCTGATGATGCCATCTCCACTATCCATAACTGTGAAATCATCTCAGTTGAATATTACATAAAGGTATGAAACAATTTCTTGGTGACATCACATCCCCTCAGAAATAAAACTGCATTTTTTGTAAACATGTGTGAATAAATATGCTACATGTGAAATGTGTGTCTGAACTATGTATTAATTAGAACACATAATAATAATTCTTTACAAGTTTCTCAATCTCTGACTGTTTCCCAGGTGTATCTGGACATTAGCTTTGCTGTTGACCCAGAGGTGGTGCTTTCACTGGTCATCGTTCCTTCCAGATTTGCAGCCATTCAGCCTGGTGAGGCTGTGGGGGCTTACTCACCTGGGAAAAGGGCGCAGACATAACGAGCTGGGGAAACCATGGAATAAAACACAAGGAAAAGAAACTAGGCATAGGAACTCACAGATACAGGACGGGGACACAGGGGGTAAAGACACGGGGGGAAATCTAATAAACTAAACTGAACAACCGAGGAACCATGGAATAAATAATGAACAAAATACAAAAACACAAGAAAACTAAGAATGCTGGGTCAAAATGACCCAGGACAATGACATTTATTGAGTGTATGCAGGGTAAATTAAAAGAGTAATCTGACATGTTTAATTATAGAAATGTCCAGTTATAGTTGCAACTTTTTATATATTTTGCATATTTTTATTTTGAAAAGTTGTGACTTCCTACTACAGTTTCCTAAACAAAGCAATTATCAACACCTGCTTACTCTGTATAAAAGATGATGTGCCAGCAGCAGAGAAAGGGGAAGCATCAAAATGGAAAGAACTGACGGATGCTGGGGGAACTGGTGTGGCATGGGCATGGGCATGGGCATGGGGAAGGCATTCCCCAGTGAGACACAACAGTTAAAAGACTGGTTGCTGTGATGGGTTCCAAAGCATTTGTCTTAAGACCCCTGCACCTGTGCACTTAATGTACAACAATGGACTGCTAGCTTGATTTTGTTTTTTGCTGTTTTTAACTGCCTTCGGCTTTTTCTGAAATTATAAATAAATCAAATGTTTTTAACTGCTACACTGTGTTTTTGTACTCTTTGGCTACCATCCCTTTCTGTTAGCAGCTTTACTCACTGGACTTATTCGAAGAACTGACACAGTGAAAGGTCGGTGACTGATTAAGGAATCATTAGGAGGCAACAATACAATATAAATACACACACAGTACCCCAGTAAACACCAGTGAAGAAGAACACGCAGCACAGATAGAGAGAGGGCGAAGCAGAGCAAGGAACAAGTTGGCAAGGGAGACCAGAGAGGCAGGTGAAGACAGGACAAGCTGAGGATACTCATGCTGTATTGCTGAGACGGTTTCAAAAATAAAGTACGTCCCCTGAGAGACGATTATGGCTTCTTTCTCTCTCCATTTAGGTGTCAATGTTTTTGAGGAGGTTTATGTATTTATTCCGTTAATAATCTGATTGCAAATACATTTTCCTAATCGCTACTCTGGTCTCTGTATTCCTTGGTTGCCTTTCCTTTATTTAGCTGCTACCGATTAAAAAAACAACAAAAAACTTTTATACACCTCTCCCTCTTTTTCACATTACACAGACAGCCGTTTCTCAGAAAGGCAGCGGTGTTCACTTAAGTTGTTCATCTGGGTTCAGAGCAGCGACCAAACCGCACGCACACATGGTAACGCTGCTCACACAAATCACACAAGTGTATAACCTACTTTTCCCTCATTTACGTATTTTTTGACTTTCAAATGTGGATGACCAAACTCTGCAGTGAAGTTTTACTTTAGATGTGCATTATGGTGTTGAAATTGCACTTATATGCTTTCTTACAATTCTTGAATGAGCAGCAATAACTACACGTAAATAAGCTCTTATGTAACGAGCACTTTATTTATTTTTATTGAAGACATATTTACATGTACCCTAAACTACAGGAGGGAGTATTAACAGATTGTTGAGTAGTGTTATGGTTATTTATTTATTTATTTTTGTCAGCGATCATATACAAACACAGTCTTCTGAGCGAGATGTATGAATCTTTCAGTACGACCGTGACTTCGATTTAACGAGTTCATGTTCTATTCAGTAGGCTAGTCTATTTGCTAAACTACGTAAATTGCAATAAGTTTTCAAATGTTTCATTATACTGTATATCATACTTAAATCAATGCGTGGATCTCATCTCTTAACTTTTGTTATTATCTGAAATCAGAAGTCACGATGTCACTCTTTAGGCGGAGCCTCCCGTCATGCACCTTAAATCGGTCTATCGGTGCTAAGAAACGCATCGTCTTCAACTCAGCTCGGAAATGTCCTCGATGAAGGACTTAAACGTGACCTTTGAAGCTATCAACGAAGACGGTAGTTATTCTGAAGGAGATACTATAGTGGGCAGTGTTAGTTTCAGGCTGACAAAAGAGGTTAAAGTTAAGAGCCTTTCTGTAAAAGCCAAAGGAGACGTCAAGGCAGAATGGACAGAAGGAACAGGATATTTCCAGATTACCCACACTGCAAAAAGGAGATATTTTAAAGTGAAGGAGTACTTAATTGCAAGAAATGGTAAAGGTGAGAGGCTTTAACACACTTGGAAGAATGCAAGGATTAAATTGTGCAGCCGACATAAAGAAAACACTACATTTAAGGAATATAACCTGGCTTCAATGATCAGCAGTAAATTGTAAGTATATCACTGTAGCTCTGTGACAAAGCCGACATTTGCTGACCGTTTCTTGCAGGCACTGTACTTCCCAAAGGGGTCCACACGTTTAGGTTCGGGCTCAAAATCCCAGAGGGGTAAGTGGGAATTTGAATTATTAATACTGTCATACGATGCTTTGGCAAATGCATACATTTCCCACTGGTTTTGTTTACAGGAGCATGCCTTCATCCTTCAAGGGGGTATATGGAAAAATTGTGTACATGTTTGAAGCAAATATGTCCAGGAGCTGGTGGTGGCCTTCTAAAGTTAAAAAGAAGATCAACTTCATTTCCAAGACGTTTCAACAGTTTTGGGAAGTGACGGTAAACACTGCACTGATACGTGCTATAAATGTGATATTTGGAAAGTGCTTTGTGAAAAAACTCACATTAAAAATCACACGCATGAAATTGTAAACATGTTTGTCTATGTGGTCTGTCATAGCATCCACAATCTGGTACAGTGAGTAAAAACATAGGTGGGCTCTCCCAGGGATGGGTCCAAATGTCTGCTACTACTGACAGGAATGTTTGCACTCCAGGTACAGTAACTTCACGCTGCGCAGCGAGTGTTGATAGATTTAAAAATGCAGTTTAATGTTCTGATTTGATTTTTACAGGTGAAACTATATCTGTTGTTGCCCAAATCTGCAACTCCTCTTCCAAGAACACGAGGCCCAAATTCAAACTTGAACAAAAAACAGTATTTCGCTGCAATGAGTCTACTAAGAAGTGGGTGATGAATCTGTTCAAAGAGGTCGGGGAAACTATCAGTCCAAACTCAGAGCGAACTGTCTCCTGCCAGTTGAAGATTCCTGATGATGCCATCTCCACTATCCATAACTGTGAAATCATCTCAGTTGAATATTACATAAAGGTATGAAACAATTTCTTGGTGACATCACATCCCCTCAGAAATAAAACTGCTTTGTTTCTAAACATGTGTGAATAAATATGCTACATGGGAAATGTGTGTCTGAACTATGTATTAATTAGAACAGATAATAATAATTCTTTACAAGTTTCTCAATTTCTGACTGTTTCCCAGGTGTATCTGGACATTAGCTTTGCCTTTGACCCAGAGGTGGTGTTTCCACTGGTCATCGTTCCTTCCAGATGTGCAGCCATTCAGCCTGGTGAGGCTGTGGGGGCTTACCCACCTGGGACAACTGTGGTCACAAGTTAAAGCAACTTCGCTTCCCCTGCCTTCCACACTGGATTTGGCTCTGAGCCCACAGTGTCAGGTCACTACCCCACCCCAGATGCTACTCAGCATGATAATATAACAAGTGGCAATTCTAACTAGTGGTCACACGGTGCTACTGCACAGGGGATTTCAGCTCCAGTTTTTAAAGCACCTTTAATGCAACATCCAGGTCCTACTCTGACTACTTTTCTACAGGGGGAACAACCTCCATTATATACGTCCATTTACCAGCATCAAAATGAAACACTGTGAGTGTAAGTGAATGGGCCAAATATTAATAGCTGGGGACACCTCAAAAGTCACAGTTGGGTATGGGTTAAACAGGGTTCAGAAGGCAGAATCATAAAGCTGCCCCCTTCTTGTTGATGATCAACTGGCAGGACAGAATGAGGCCTTCCAGCTGTTGTCCCACAAAGGAATTAAATGTTTTATACAAAAACTGTGTTTTTAATATTTAATCTTTTGGAGGGAAAATAAGACTAACTGGACAAATCATGAATGTGTTCAGTTGCAGAAAGTTTCTATGTCCTATACCCTATTTAGACGTAGCTGGCCATATACTATACCTAGTAATCAGAGCTGTACCCCAAAACTGTGACTTTTAAAGGGCCTGAAAAAATGGGACTGGGGGTTAAATCATGTGACTGAGCAGTTTTCACCTCTTGATATCAGTAGGGTAACCAGAGACACAAGAAGTGACAGAACAAACAATAAGAGAAGTAAGTGATTTTCCTTTAGTCAGTCTTCTACTCTCTATACTCCACATAACAATTTGTTTAACAACAGACATGTTTTTAGTTATAGATCACATTTTTATATTTGTTATTATAATTTTGCTTGTTTTTTCAGTGTTTTGAAAACTGGAATGTAAATGCATTGTCTGTTGTTTTAAATATATATAAAAAACAATGTCACATATTTGTGTTTATGCTTATAGATTTAAGGTGAAAGGTCTGTTTAGCAGTGTTATCCTTAGGAGTATGCTGCACTTTACTTTGAAAAATATTGAATTGTTTATGTTGTTCTATGTATGGTGGCATATCAAATTCTTGTGGCAAAACACTTAGCATTACTCCTAGCTTATGGTTTCGCGATGACCAACATGGTCTCTGTTAAACCACTTACTGTTTTATACTGCAATGCCTTCACTGTCAGCTGAAACAGACTCAGAAGCACTTTTCACATCTGATTACTGTCAATGGGAAGCTTTTGTTTTGAAAAATTGCTGATAAAATCTTATAACTGAGAGCTTTCATTATTACAATTAGATGTTTCTGAGCACTGTGATCATAGCATGACAGCATCTTGATAACATCCAATAAAATAACTTGATGGATGGTTAAAGGAATAAACTGCCACCAGGTGAATGTCTAAACTTGGATGTATGTGTCACAGTGCTATCAAAGGGATAGAGGGTCATTCCTCAACCTGCACAGCAGCTGCAATGTAATGTGGTATCGCAATGTACATGAAACAAAGAAGCTTTATAGAAGGTTTTCGGTTATATATAATGATTACTTATTAGTCAAAACTGAAAAAATCAAGAGTAAAGCCTCTAATATATTGTAGAAAATCAGCGGTTGCCTTCTGTGGTAAAACAGTTATTTCCTAAGATGAATTGGAACAAATTGGAATATTAAAACATTATGAAAATGCAAACGGTTAATTGGATTTTTTGATGAATCCAGGGGGACAAACACATTTTGGCTGTGTGTGATGAGAGAAGAGATTGGTTTGCCCTGAGCAATAGTATAGCAAGTTGCCATAGATAAACGCTGGACTTAAGAAGATTGTAGCATAAAGGTGAGATATATTTCTTTTAAGAGCTTTGAACAGTGGTGATGACCATTTTTACCGCACACAACATGTCAGTAACACTCTGCCATTATATGCCCAATTTAACCAAGCAGGGGCGTGGGGAGGGAGAGAGCGAGCGAGCATTGAAAAAACATCTCGCCAGCACAAAAGTAGCTACGATAGGTAACAGAGAACTGCACAAGAGTTTAGACTCAGAATAAAAACACTGTAAAGAACGTTTTGACTCATCTACACATGTTAGAGCAGGTCGGTCATTGTGAGTGCTTGCATTTATTTATGTCCTTCCGTTTTTGCTCTGAGCTCATAGTTTTCCACCGCTGCCTCTTTGGGAGATGCACCAATGTGTTTTCTCACACCTCTGTGTGTTTGTACATTTCATCATACAAAAGTGGTAAGTGTGGTCAGAGATTTAGGGGGCAGGTTGTTCTACTTTCCATTGTTTGCCTCACTTTTAACACATTTAGGAAGAGTGTTACCTTTTCCATTAAAGACCATCACTGATTTGTTAAGACATTGTTTTTTCTTTTCTTTTCTCCACTTCCAACGAGAGTTACACTAGGTAATAATGTCAAGAATAATGCTACATACTACTTTTATAACATACGTTACGCCCTACTGTGGGAACTATTTAAGAAAAACCATCAAAAAACCACTGAATGCCCACACGTCAACTTGCCCTACATGCGATGCATGCAAGGAGCTGTTAGGAAACCACAATAACTTACCGCAGCATTTCATCTCTTGTGGGGAAACAAAAAACAAGGTTAGGTCACACTACAGACTGACAGTTGGTTCCCATCTATTGAGCGATACTAACCAGTATAAATACTAAAAACAGCCAGGCAGTCTGAAGCAGCAGTCTGGTGTGAAAATCAGAAAACTGGAATATATTTATAAAAACAATCACAAAGCTCACAGGGGGTATTCCTCCTGCTTTACCAAACTTTACCAAAACTGTCCTAAAGATTAAACACAGCGCTCAATACTAAGCACCATATTGACTCAGACCTAACACTGTTATCTTTGCCCTACCTCTTTAGCAATGGACCACTCTAGTCCAGTCACACCACCAATCTCAACAAAGGATTTCCATGAAATACTGACACCTCAAATTAAGAAATCCTAACTGCTTGCACTCGCCTATGGGTAGCGCTAACTCCTAGATTCCAGCTCTCACACAACTAATTAATTAATAATCTACTTACAATTTTATCTGTTGGAAATCCACCACTAGATGGAGACAAATAGGTGAGAAAAAGCAAATGTTTGTACTGGATGTTTGTAGAGGATGCTGAGTATTTTTTTATTTAGCCTCAGAGCTTTGTGAAAGTGAGTAACTTGTATGTAAATGAGGAAATATATGTACAACAATCAGAGCTTAGAGAAGGATAATATATAGTTTCAAATGTGGGCTGTGTAAAATGATGTGTTTCTTAGTCTGTATATGCATGCAGAAATGAGTTTTGTATGTGACTCACATATTTATTATATGCATGACTAGGGGAATTTAATTCAGCTGTGTTTCACCGAATCGTGTTTTTGATAAAAGAAACCAGAACATCAACAGTATTGTGATGATCATCACCATTTACAAGTGGTAAGCGCTGTGTATGGAAATTAATATTTTAAGCTATTACATAATTTAGTATTCCTTGACGTTCTTTTACTAACCATTTTGTGCTTGCAAAATTGATCAATTTCGATGCTTGTCTCCATTTTCGAACTGAAGATGTGAACTTAAGCAGTAGATCAATGGCTTACAATGGATTGGACTGTGGAGAGGACAAATACGTACATTTGAAGCCTGACAGCATCTGGTATATACACAACTTTGGATAAACTGGGCTGTTTAAAAGGCCATTTGTATAAACTGCCCCTTTAAACAGCCCAGAGGAAGAGACATCTGTGTAACTGGTAGAGTCTAAAAACCCAAGCACAATACTACTATTATTATTATTATTATTATTATTATTATTATTATTATTA